ATCATAATTATTCTCTAATTATAATCACTCCGCATATTTTCAGTACTAAAATGTTGTATTTCGGCTGATGAGAAAGATCGTGACTCAATCTTTACGACCGTTACGACCATATGGAAACCATGCAGGCTTAAAACTGTCGCATGCAACCTGCTTACAACTTGAATTGTACTGTGTAAATCAAGCACACAACAGTGAACTCTCCTACGACAACGTATTAAAGCGAGACGTGTGATTGATTTACACAGTGCAACTCAAGTTGTAATTGCATGCGACCGTTTTAGGCAAACGGTTGATGATCGGCCTTAATGTTGAATAATATGTTGATGTTTGTAATGTTGAACTGTACAAAATGTCAAAAAATATCGGGTTTCAAAATTGCATCTACAATGTATTACCACAGTAGTATGAGCTATGGACCTTATGAAAATAGACGCAACAGATCGTTTGAGAAATCCAAGCGATCTTGAGTTCTTTAAACTAAGGCTGCATTATATAAACAAGATGCTTGTTACGTCATCATCTAGACATACCTGAGGAATTTTAAACATTATGTAATTTATGTCTTCAATGCAAGACTATACTATACATATAATTAATGAAATGAATTATTTTCACATTCTTAGGCTTGAGGTTGGCCACCATCCGCTGAACGATAGCGCTTATAGTGAAACCGTTCTACCACTAAATGCCAGCCGTCTGGCGTGCAAGAACGTTTCGGCTTTAATATAATAGTTAAAATATAAGTAGGCCAAGTAGCTGATGTATGCATTTACAGCGCAAATCTATATGGTGATGCGTACGTTTTGATTCTAATAAATCGTCCTGCTTCTGAAGTAATAGATTAATGCTTAAGATCTACGACATCGACGTCAGCTAGGACGTCAGGGTTAAGCACAGGACTGGGATTAGGACGTCGTCCTAATGCCTGGTTCACACTGGTCGTAAGAATCGGGGATTTCCATTGTCTGTGGTCGTTGTTGTGTAAAATGCTTTGTCTGTCGGAAAAGAATACAATAGATCGCCGATGAATTACGACCAGTGTGAACCAGGCTTAAATAAATAAACTTGCATTTAAGATTCACAACGTAGACATTTAAACTATAAATATTTACATTCTTTTGAAAATGAAATTAAAAGAGACCATTACCGTTTGTTATGCTCTTGTATCCAAGACGGTAAAACTCTTGTTGTGAGGTACCGAAGATATGCTCTTCGAACAAAGAGCTTTTATTGAAACCTTTATTGTGGAAGAATATACAACTCTTGGGGACAAGGCGTTTACGGCATCTGCACCAAAACTGTGGAAAGCTCTTCCTGTGCAGATTCATAATGCGAATACTGTTGACTGTTTTAAAAGGCTCTTAAAGTCTTATTATTTTAGACTATAGCTTTTGATTTTGAACCATTGAGATAACTGTACTCTTGATATAGGTTTTTTATATAGTTGCTGCCGAAGGCAGCCTCCTATTCTTGACGATGTGTTTTAGCGCATTTGAATTTCCCGCCAACAGTTTTATTAAACTTGAAGCGTATCTCGATTTTGTGTCGTTCAAGTGTTTGTCGGCAGTTGTGACGTCAAATTATGACGTTGCAGTAAGGAATTTACATTGGAGCATTATCATACCCCAGGCACAGAATTTTTTTATTTTGTGCCCCAGGAGTTCACAATAGCAAATCGATGACTGCTGAATACTTTGTTTACCCACGTACCAAGTATGGCGTTTAAAAATATTTCGATCAGCAAGCTTTGTAGCATAATTTTAACACGAGGTGTCGAGGTCAGGAGCGAAGCAAAGACATACTTTGTATAAATACTGGCCTTACTTCAAGTTTTGTGAGAAAGGGAGATCGTTTAGAGGTATGTCAATTTGCTCGATTTTTTTTTTCTTCTTAGCTCAATTCACAGCGCGAATTATGTATGTATATAAATATATATTTTCATACACTACTAATGAGAAATGTTTGTGTGTACTAGCCTAAAACATAGTCATCCATATTAAATATTAAAATGCACCCATGGCTATGAATGTTTAGCTCCACGGTTAAGAGGATTTAACTTTAAATATATTTCATTTATTAATGTAGCATATTTATCACACGCAGAATGTTTTTTTAAATATATTCCTATTATCCTATAGCAACCCAGTGTGGATTGTTGTCTGCATATATTAACTTACCAGCAGTTACAAGGTATGATGGTCAGACTGTAAAAATATACCTCTGAGATATGTCCATTTTTAGCACAATACGAAATAATCCTACCGGCCTTCATGTATTCACCTGGCTGTGTCACCACCACATTTCAGGATTTTTGATAATGCACCAGTCAATGGAATGCCCCGCACCCCCCTACCCGGGGAATGCTGGGGAATAGCGGGGAATTATTGAGTGATTGAACCTTATATTCGGCCATGGTACACAGGGATTTAGACTGTATTAGTTATGTTATCAGGTACCGGGGACTTTGGCGGGGCTTATATCGGAGCCGCCATCTTGAAAACGAGAAAGGACTGGGTATGAGCAATGAAAGCAAGCTGATAATTTTGCAAATGAACTGACAATCTCTTGTGTTATTAGGTCACCGTTTTATTTTCTTGAAAGTTATTGTAAACCATTTAGATGTTCCATTTTTTAAGCATTCAGTATGGACCATAGATATGATTTAAATTTTAAGTAAAAAGGGAAAGGCGCAGTTTTTAGGGGCCCCGAACAATGAGCAAAACCAAATCGAACTGAAAAGAAGCCAGTTTAATAGATGTGCGAAATTAAGTATGAATAAGGTAGTATTTATCAAATAGGTCTATTTCCTTTAGATTGATATTCTTTTTAGAGATTGTATGGTGGGCCCGGAAAGCCGGGACATTATTTGCGTTTAGACAAGTGAGAGTGGCCCATATAGAGGGGAGTTAGAGTGAAATGGAGCAAGGTCTTGGTCTAATCCCCCGCTGTTCCCCGGGTAGGGGATGTGGGGTATTCCCAGGGTGTTAGCTAGCCCATAATCATACTGTTTGTTTGACGAACTCTTCCTAATTGAAGTAGCTAAGTGGCTTTCCCAACTGGGTCTACTGGAAGATTTTCATTTTTTCTGATGAGAAAGTGCATTGTGTTTGATTTTATATTATTATATCAAACTTTTTTCCCATTAACTATTTTCTCAAAATGTATCGCGTTTCACTCATATTGGGTCTGTTCACTGAAATGAAATGTACAAAACAAAGTGTAATCGGTGTGCATCCGTATTCATTCACCGGAAAAGAAATATACAAAACGAAGTACCATCGGGTGCATTTTTCAGTATTCATTCACCGGAAATGAAATGTACAAAACCAAGCTACCGTTGTTTGCATCTAGGGAGAAACACGTTGGAAAAAAACTCTATTTATTCCTACACAAGGACTTTGATCCGTCAAAAAAACTTCCCCAATTTACGTTTAAAGGACAAAACTTTTTTTCTGGCTAACACCCTGATTCCACTGACTGGTGCATAATGCTCACAATTTCTTTCTTATATAGTTTTTCAGTTCTGAGTGTGTACAATCTTAGTCTTTACAAATGAATGGTGCCATCTGAAGCTGACATATTAAACAAAAATGTCGACAAATATAGATTTTGTTTCCCATCAGCAGATTGTTCGGTTGTTCTGCAATAGAGGTAGCCTTGAAGGTGCCATTAAAACAATAATTGGGACAAAAACTGACTTAGTATTTCTATATATGAAATTGTTATTAAATTTTATGTGTCCAATAATTCATTCAAGTATTATTATTGTTTATACGTACATATGGTATTATGACTATTATTGTACAGTATTGATTGGTAATTGGTCATGGTATGCTAATAGACCTGCAATGCAAATCATTAAAAACCATAGCATGACCTAGCTGTTACTACGGCTAGCTTCACCAGTGCTGACAGTAATTATAATTAATATACATACAAAAACAAGAAGTTATAAGCATTGAAAGGATTCATATAAATTTAGCATGCCAAGAAAGTAGAATTAGAATATTTAGCTGACCTTTGACTTTGTGCAAGGTGTTTGGTATTCAAATTGCACTTTTCCTACCTCCTGAACAGGCATCTTAGGCTAAGGGGCTGTTTACATGATGGAATGTGGGATGATTTTGATGTATTGAAATACGTCCATAGGCTAAACGAAAGTCCAAATGCTGGTTAACAAAATTCAAATGTTGTAGAGCAGATCTTGTAGTTCAAGAAGATTATTATTGCTGCTTGAACAACCTTTCAGTTGACAGGTAGCTATTGCTATCTGTCGGAAATAATGAAGTTTTTTGCTGAAGTGTACACTGTGACTTATTTAAATACATCTAAATCATCCCGCCTCATATCTCATCCTGGCAAAGCGGGATCATAAAAACAGCCCCTTATTCAGCAAATTGCGCATGCTGCCTTTGATCACTTGGGGGTGAGGCAGCATTTTCCTTGCGATAGTAACTTCTAGTTAATAGTATTTTATATATAGCATACTTGTAAGACGCTTTCGATCATTTTGTTATGTAGAAAGCGCCATATAAATTGTCAAATTATTATGTTATTATTATAACAAGCAAATTTACTGTACTGTGCTACAGCAACTGTCCAGTCAGGCAAACGGGATAAAAAGCCGATATAATAATATAATATAAAAGATAATGTAAAAAAGTAACAGAACGGCGAACATGCAGATTCGGCCATCTCAAATCAAATGGTAATGTTGGGATAGAGGGGAGCAGGGGCGTAGGAAGCATCAAAAAGTTGGGGGGGCGGTTTTGAGGGGCACTTTTCGAAAGAAAAGGCACCTAAAAAATTTTCCCGGAAATGTTGGCGACTGGGGGCAGGTCAACTCAAAACATTTCCGGACATGTCATCATCTTCGCAAACATACAAAATTTTTCCGGACATATCAGAATTTTTTCCGTAGTATTTTTTCAGTAAATAAATGTAATCATAAATCAAAGGCTATTGAGGCAAACGGCGATCTCAATGACATTTTTCACGTAGTCAGAAGGGCACTTTGCCACCGAAAAAAGGGCACTTTTGAAAACTTGGAGGGCCTGGCCCCCCTAGACCCCCCCCCCGGTTCCTACGCCCCTGGAGGGGAGTGAGCAGTAAGGCCGGTTGAAGCAATCCTGGCTGCAAATTTCATCCCAATTTTCCGGGCTGAAACTCGCCATGCAGTTGACGGAAGATATAAATAGTTCGGGTTAAAAAATCAGCATTTAAGTGACTTTATTTCTGTTCTATTTTTAAATGCAACCACAGTCTCGCAGAAGTCAAATAATATAGACATGAACAACATTTTAAATTCTTCGAAGAAAGGAATAGCTCCATTTCGACACTTAATCGTTTCAGCGCTGGCTGGGAGATTTCACGCCTGTTTGAACTGAAATTTGCCATGTAATCGTGAAACAATTTCAGTTCCTGAGTTGAAATTCAGCCTGGGCTGAAAACTCCCCTATGTAATCAGCCCCTTAAACTCTCTATTAGCTAAAGATGAAAGATATCCTAAACATCTTCCTTTATTACTTGCTTTTTTCTTTCATTTGCAGAGCCAGTTAATAATATCGAAAGGTTATCCATGCGAAGAACACTTTGTCCAAACCGAAGACAACTTTATCTTAAACGTACAACGCATACCGCACGGTCGAAATCAGAATCACACGAGACAAAAGGCAAAACCGATCGTGTTTTTACAACATGGACTATTGGCCGATAGCGCTTGTTGGGTTTTTAATTTTCCCAAAACCAGTCTGGCTTTTATCTTGGCTGATAATGGTTTCGACGTTTGGCTTGGAAATTCGCGAGGGAATAGATACGCGAGAAGGAATAAACATTTGTCTCCTGATTGCTTGAAGTTTTGGAAATGGACGTAGGTTTTGGCAGTTTGAGGCAGAAAGGGAGGGAGGAATGAAGGAAGGACCAATGCAAAAATATTCTTTCCTGTTTTTCAACTAGATTTGATGCCATGGCAAAGTACGATTTACCTGCAACAATGGATTATATTGAACGCACCACAGGACAAGATCAGCTGGTCTACATTGGTCACTCTCAGGGAACTCTGATCGCGTTTGCTGCTCTGTCCACTAATCCTGAACTTGCAAAGAAAGTAAAGCTGTTTATTGCCCTCGCTCCTATTGTCACCATTGGGAACATAATGGTGCCTGAACTCAGAATTCTGGCTGACATTACTACGGCTATTGATGTGAGTGTGGTGGTGATGATGATGATAATGATCATGGTAATGATTATGGTGGTGATGACGACGATGATGACGCTGGTGGTGATGGTGATGATGATGGTTATGATGATGGTTATGATGATGATGGTAATGGTGATGATGATAATGATGATGATGATGATGATAATGGTGATGATGGTAATGATGTGATGGTGATGATGATGACAATGATGATGGTGATGATGGTAATGCTGATAGTAATGATGACGACGATGATGAAGTTGATGATAATGATGGCGATGATAGGTGATGATGATGTAATGGTGATGATCCTTGATGATCATGATGATGATCATGATGGTGATGATGATGATGATGATGATGGTGATGATGATGTAATGGTGATGATTCTTGATGATGATGATGATGATGATGATGATGGTAATGATGATGATGATGATGATGATGGTGACGATGATGTAATGGTGATGATTCTTGATGATGATGATGATGATGATGATGGTGATGATCATGATGATGGTAATGATGATGATGATGATGGTGATGATGATGATGATTGTGATGATGGTGAAGATAATGATGGTAATAATGATAATGCTGATGGTAATGATGATGATGGTGATAATGATGATGGTGATGATGAGATGGTGATGATTTGTGATGATAATGGTGATGATGATGATGGTGATAATGATGATGGTGATGGTAATGATGGTGATGACATTGATGGCAATAATGATGGTGATAATCAATATGTTGGTGATAATCAATACATGTCCGTTTCCTAAATTTTACATTTCCAGGATGTGGCACCAGTTATCGATGCGCCATTTCTTCCTGGAGATATATGGCGAACGCAGTTTATCGACAAAGGTTTTTGCAACGGAGTGACTGAGGAAAAGCTATGTTATCAAGTTATGAAGGTTTTCGTTGGAGCAGACCCTACAAATGTAAACTATGTAAGTAAATATTATACAGTTTCCTGCCGTAGTCACCCTGGATCAATAAGGAATGATCCTTTCTTGACCTCTAGGGAGAATAGTTTAGAACTGATATCCAGTGTAAATAAAGTTGGTCAAAAAATCTTTCTCTTAATTTCAGAGTCGCATTCCAGTGTATCTTAACGGTTTTCCATCCGGGACTTCGTTAAGAAATCTGGTTCATTTTGCGCAGGTAATTTTATTACCATTCTACTAAACACGTACGATGTGTCACTAACCGAAAGGGCAAAACAGAGCTGATGTTTTTGTTTTTATTTTTATTTTCAGTTGCTCGTCTCAGGAAAATGTCAAATGTTTGACTATGGTATCATTGAAAACTATCTCCATTACGGCCAGGTAGCGAATCTTCAGTATTAGAAAGGTGTCTGTATCAGAGAGGTGTCTGTATTAGAGAGGTGTCTGCATTAGAGAGGTGTCTGTATTAGAGAGGTGTCTGTATTAGAGAGGTGTCTGTATTGGAGAGAGGCAGGGACGCCGGAACTGGGGTGGCAGGAGGGGCAGCCGCCCCTGTTGCCCTTTGCCAGGAGGGGCAAGGGGGGCTAAGGTGTCCTTTCAATTTAGAGGATTGCCTTGGCGAAATAGGGAATTGTCAGAAATGTTAGTGCAATTCTTTTACGACTTTTTTTCAGAAAATGCAAGAAATGCAGTCATCGAGCTTCAAGAATAGCACAATCGCCTGGCGGAGAACCCCCTCACACCCCTATCATCCAATAAATAGAAAACATGGTTAGGCGAAGTTCAACTCCCGATGTTTTGCAAACATCTCTTAGTATATATAAATTCAAAAGTGCCCTTTCACGAAAATCTGAGGGGTCTGTATTAGATAGATGACTGTATTAGAGAGGTGTCTGCATTAGAGAGGTGTCTGTATTAGAGAGGTATCTGTATTAGGGAGGTGTCAGTATTAGAGAGGGGTCTGCATTAGAGAGGTGTCCGTATTAGAGAGGGTCTGTATCAGAGAGGTGTGTGTATTAGAGAGATGTCTGTATTAGAAAGGTTTCTGTATTAGAGAGGTGTCTGCATTAGGAGGTGTCTGTAGCATAGAGGGGTCTGTATTAGACAGTCTGTATTAGAGAGGTCTCAGTATTAGAGAGATTCCCACATTAGAGAGGTGTATGTATTAGAGATGTGTCTACACCAAAGAGGTGCCTCTATTAGAAAGGTGTCAGTATAACTGATCTTTCCTAAATATATTCTAATTCTGTTCAACATATTTTCAGGCAAAACCACCCCAATATAATGTGGTAAACATCGACGTGCCCATCGCTATATTCTCGGGAAATCACGACACGCTTTCGGATCCGGCCGACGTCGAATTGCTGATACCGAAACTGAAAAATCTGATCTATATTAAGAAACTGGAGCAATTTAATCACGTTGATTTTGTTATGGGATTGAATGCGAATGTTGTACTGTACCCAGACATTGTTAAACTTAGCAAAAAATATTCTAACTTGGATTAAAATTGTCTTTATTGTGCCGATTACATGAGTCGAGTTGTCCCGGCTAGCCGAGGTGCGTCATAATTAACGCATAATAACCTCGCAAATTACTTTTCATGAAGGCTGTATAATGAATATTAGATAATACCTTTGTATTATATAATATTCATTAGAGTTCTGATCGCTTAATTGTCTGTTTATGGTCACGTGATATTGAGTAGAAAATTCCATTTCCCAAGAGTGCAATGGAATACGTTCCATTGCACTCTTTGCGAGTGCAATTGTACGATACGTTTTATGCCATTGCACTCTTTGTGTTTTCGATAAATCGCATCCGTCAAAATGCTTCTCATACGAATCTATTAGTCTATTTTGGTATTATATAAAACAGGGGTCGCCTCGTTGAATGGAACATTCCATCTTTCACCAGTTCACCTCATGAAAATATTCTTACCATTGCATGAATAAACATTCATTATTTGTATACTATTAAAAAACCTATTAATAATTCATGAGGAAAATGCAAATGAAATGAATGTTTAATCAATGTTTGTAAATTGGAGAAAGATTTGTCCTGATTTACATAAACTTCAGCTTTGATTTTCTCTTCTTAGATAATGTTAATTTTTTAAATTACTTCGCGAATGAACTAATAAGATGGGTCGTTTTTTAAGCGGCGAGAGTTTGTATATCAGATAAAGATCGGATGCGAATGTTTTAACTATAGTACTTAATTAATTAAAAGCAATAAAAAAAATTAGATTACATGGAAAAGGCTAGGGACCAACACATGTACACACGCAAAAACGCACATCTTGCAGCAAGTCTGCCAACAAGCCGTCAACAAGTTGTATTCGCACTGCTTGTTCCAAGTTGTCAACAAGTTTGGAACAAGCTGTTAACAACTTGCAACAAGCTTGATGGCATTATCAGCAAATTGTTCTAACAAGTCTGACACAGTCACGATATAACAATATTGTTACAACTTTGTGCCGTCAAACTTGTAACATTCTTCTTATATCATGAATGTATCGGACTTGTTAGAACAACCTTGTAACATTCTTGTCATGTCATGACTGTATCAGTCTTGTTAGAACAACCTTGTAACATTCTTGTTATATCATGACTGTATCAGACTTGTTAGAACAACGTTGCAACATTCTTGTTATATCATGACTGTATCAGACTTTTTAGAACAACCTTGTAACATTCTTGTTATATCATGACTGTATCAGACTTGTTAGAACAACCGTGAAACATTCTTCTTATATCATGACTGTACATGTATCAGACTTGTTAGAACAACCTTGTAAAATTCCTGTTATATCATGACTGTATCAAACTTGTTAGAACAATCTTGTAACATTCTTGTTATGTCATGACTGTATCAGACTTGTTAGAACAACCTTGTAAAATTCCTGTTATGTCATGACTGTATCAAACTTGTTAGAACAATCTTGTAACATTCTTGTTATATCATGACTGTATCAGACTTGTTAGAACAACCTTGTGTACCATTAGTCTCATAGTGCCACCAAGCTTGTTACAAGTTGTTAACAGCTTAGGGCCTGTTTATATTGAGGCGAGTTACCACGCAAGGCGAGTAACTCGCCCAGGCGGGACAAACAAGCGCTCTGTTTATATGGAACCGAGTTACTTGGCATTTGCTACATGATTGCCGTATGACGCCGAAATGGCGCCAAAACACAAAAAGGAGTTAAGTCGTTTGAAACGTTAAAAAAACTTTTACAAAATGTCGTCTAAATACAAGAATAAGCGCCGAGAAATTCAGAAAAACTTATCTATCGATTCGTATATGTATTTTTGAGCTTTTATGTTTCAAATGCATAGCACATATCCTACATTCTATCCCGGACGACTGAGTTATCCGGGCAAAGTATCTACATGGTAAAATATTCATCTTGTCTAGGCGATATCCCGCCTCTTTCTGCCGGGAACTTGTCAAGGCGAGTAACTCGGCTCAGGGTTTACTTTAACGTGCAGTTCTACACAAAATGTGCAGTTCTAAACCCATTTGTGCAGTTCTTAAAACACAAATATGCAGTCACCAAACTAACAAAAATAGCCTTAATTAAAACAGTCCTCTCATTTACTCGTTACCCTTGCGGATGCACCAAAAATATAAACGATTTCTGGGGAAGGACTTCAGATCCCCCTATTTTCCTCACAAAACACTTATGTGCTGGGGTAATAGAAAAGAAAGTAAAATTGGGGCGAGCGAAGCTCCCCAAAAGAGATTAGAGTGGGAGAACCTAATATTCTTTGCTGCCTCAAATGCAAATTTAAGGTTGTTATATATTGAATATCCATGATTCCCAGTTACATGTTTTGAAACAGATTTTGAGTGGTTGGGTAAAACAAATCTTTGCCAGAACTTAACAGCCTCTAGACTCAATTGTTTTGGGAACAGCCCTATCTCCCGCACCCAACACGAGTTTGTCTGGCCTTTCTCCAATTCTCCCACCCAACCTCATCATTATTCTGTCACCTATATGCAGGTAAAATATCCTTCGAATCCCCCCAGTCAAACACCCGTTGCCTTCGTAACATCCCTATGTGTGCAGTTCTAAATTTTTCTTAAAATAAACCCTGAGTCTCGGCTGCATCATGTAAACAGGCCGTTAACGATAATGAACTTATACTTCACGCTAGCTATAGCCAGGACAACTCGCTGCATGTATATATTGGTAGAATGAATCATTCCTATTCAATGCAATCATCTCCAAATTTCATAATTATAGCTCATATTTAAATGTCCATTTGGTTATGAGTTTACATAATGGGGCAATATATATAGGAGTAACATTATATTAATCAGTTCTATTAAATTATTAGAAAACTATTTCAGTTGTCAGAAATGGTTGATGCGTAAAGGAAGTCTAATAGATATATTCCTTCCACCAAAATCGACGCAATTGCTACATGGCATTGGCTTCGCTCTATCTTTAACTGTTAGTGGTATGCCAACTTTAAAGGAGTTTAGGAAGAAATCATACACCTTACTCGTGTTAAATTCGCGTCATGTCGCTCAGCTTTAAATTCGCGCAAGTAATTTTCCGTGTTCGTTCTTTCTGGTTTAAATGTTTAATTAATATAACTATTAACAATTGTCGTATTTATAATAAGTATGTTTATCAACAAAATATACTTCAATATTTGTCAAAACTTAACAAAAAGCGATTAGGTGGCCTCATAAAATGGCTTCAAAATTATGATGTAAACAAAATTCAAGATAATAATAAAGCGTGAGTTGAAATACCAACAAATACCAAAAATTATTGTATGATTCTCATTTGCCTAATACAATAACATAATGCAAATAGTAATGCAAATCAGTTATTAATAAATCAACTGAGTGCATTACCAACAATGAGTGTCTCATATTACACCATATTACTTCCTTTTTAAACAACACTCCTAATTGAGAAAGTGAGAAACAGAGACAGTCAAGAAACCCAGATCAGAAATTCAAACGGCGAATAATGACAAATATACCGACCCTAACAAAGATAGTTTTCGAACAAATCCGCATGCTCCTACAATAAATCGTAAGACAAAACACATACGCGGTTTTAAAATTGCTCATTTAAACATTAGAAGTTTTATTAAACATATTGATCAATTCAGATACTTTCTTAATTAAAGAAAAACAATAATTTGTCTTAATGAAACATTACTGGACGAAACAATTAATGATCATGAAGTTAATATTGAAGGCTATGTCATTGTGAGAAAAGATAGAAATCGTAATGGTGGTGGGGTAGCTATTTATGTTCGAAGTACAATCAATTACATGATAAGGGCTGAGTTTGACACAGAAGGCTTAGAAACAATCACGGTTGAAATCTCTAAGCCAAAACCATTTATTATTAATTGTGTATACAGACCTCCATATTCAACAGTCGAATTATTAAATACTTATGAAAAATTAATCGAGATACTTGACTACGAAAACAAAGAAACAATCTTGATTGGAGACTTCAACTGCGATTGGACAGGCGTTAAGTCGGATAAAGTCAAACCGCAAACTAATAAATTACACGAAATTATTCAAACGTATCAATTCGAACAAATGATAGATCAACCCACGCGAATAACTACCAATTCAGAAACAATAATCGATTTGGCTTTTACAAATAAACCGGGACTAATAATCCGTTCTGGCGGCGTAATCCATATCGGAATAAGTGATCATAGCTTAAAGACGGCTTACAGTCCGTGCTGCGCATGTGCGATTCTTTTTGTTTTGGTAGACTACTCATCTCTCGTTTCCATGGTTTCCAGTCCGATTGCGTAATATACGCGCGATTCTATATTTATTGATACAAGGAGTGGGAATACACAGTTTCGACGAGATTTTCAACGATTTGTGACTTTTATGTGGAATCCGATTAATAACAAATCATTGAAACAGGCTAGTTCCTCGGGTAGAGGAGAACTGCACGGAACTGAACATATATATACATGCATGGACTGTAGTAAGAGTCTGCGGAGTGCGGTGCGGTGCATACATCGTCTCCGATGCGCTCAATTATGCGACGACCAAAAACTATAAACAGAACAAAACGACAAATATATTTTACTATAGCACGCGAGTATAATTACATCATTTTCTAACTTACTTAAAACGTTAAGAACTGTCAGAAAAGACAGCAATACAATAGCCTATATTATACTCATTTTGTAATTTACGTCGTCAAGGACAATTATATAGGGCTCTATAGATGCCTATAGGCTTTTATGCCCAACTGTACAAGGCATCTATAGGCCACGTATAGACGTTTTTCGTATATACTTTTAGTAAGTTTGTCAAGGACAATGTGCCATTAACATTGACTAATTGATTGTCCATGCCGGTTTAGGCGCCGGTTATAATAGCGACTATGTATATATATATTTTCAGTTAGCAACCAGAGCCACAAGGATTCACATCGAGTTGATTCGAGTAACCAGAGGACTCGTTAGAGAATAGATCGTTTTACTAGGATTGCTCCCAAATATAGCCATGCATTTTCGATTCAGTTTTGGTGTTTTAGACTGGTGTTTTACAATTATCTAATCATTTATGAAATCTATATATTAAATTTCCTTAAAATATCCTGAAACCATTGGCAAGTACATTTATATTTTTTATACAATTTTAATTTTCAAACCACTGTATGCATGCATGCATCGTGGACATTGTGAACAATATAACACTTGTCAAAAATCGGTCTCCCATGCATACCCAGCTACTGTAGCTTGTTCGTAGGTGCGAAGTATCCTCCCACTTTCATAGCATTATTCCACTCCTCGTACAATGTCAAACTTACAAATAACATACGCTAAGATTATCAGATTAACATCATTGGAAAATTATAATAATGAACTCTTTATATATAAAATCTAGTAGTGTACTGACATAATTTCAGAAACCTGCGCTATAACACACGTATATTACTCGTATTCTAGAAGCGCACTCATATTCATACTCAATGGATGAATGCCCCGAGTGGAGGTTCAATCTGAGCTTCTTTTGAGTGTCAGCCTTGTTTTTCAATAGCTGCCAGAAACATGAGTATAGTCATATAGTAACGGTACGACACTAACCCTCCAGCTATTCAAAAACAGCAATGACACTCGAGAGAAGCAGTAGAAGCTCAGACTGAACTTCCACTAATTGAGTGTGAGTATATAGGGGAGCTTTTAGAATACGGGCGTAAAACTACTTTCAGAACAACGGCAACGGTACATAAAACGGTTACCAAAATTCGCCCATATTATGTAGTATTTCATGCTCTTTCCAAAGATGTACTGTTTGCTGCACAAGCTCACCAATGTCAAAACGGCAAGGGTTAATTAATAAAGTGGTAATTACTTTTGTTTTTAAAATTACATTGCGCAAACATCTATATTCCGCAAGCGTTTGTCCCAAAATCTGTCTTCCCAATTGTTGCCGAACTCGACTATATTGTGTTGTATCTCATGTTTTTTCCATTATGTACAGTAAATTATGGCACAATTAAGCTAACAAACGTCGAAATAGCATGCAAGGATTAATCAGTGCTAATCACTATTCAGCAAGCGTTTGCGCAAAATTTTTCTTCCCAATTCTTGCCAAACTTGGCTATATATGTTATGCAGTATTTCATGCTCTTTCCAATGATGTACCGTAAATTGTGGCACAAGCTCACCAATGTCAAAACGGCAAGGATTAAATAAGGTGGTAATTGCTTTTGTTTATAGAATTACATTGCGCAAACGTCTATCGGATTCTGCAACATCTGTATTCCTAATTGTTCTGAAACTCAACTATATTTTGCAGTATTTCATGCTCTTTATTCTAATGAACTACAGCAAATTGGGGTGCAAGCTCACCAACATCCATTATATACGATATTAATGTAACACAATCGTTTGAAACTGGTTGTGTTAAATGCCATTCTATCGTGTCGTCCTTTGTTGAGCATTGTAGATAAAATGTGTTGTAATTGATGTAAAAAATTGGGCACAAGCTCCTAAACGTCAGAATGGCAAATTAGACTAATGAAAGAAACTTAATCCTAATGATTAGACAAAAAAAACCCGCCTGAACCCTACAATAATCACATATTGAGCTAAAGTGCCACGCTTTTATACCGCGAAGCTACCTTCAAAAGTTTTATAGCAATAAACGAAGGAAATTTGGGATCACTAGAGTTCCTATATTACCATGCAGGTAAGGCTGAGCCTTACCTGCATGAGCATCTTTTCGAAAGGATGATTGTACATGAAATTATTTTCCACTGTTATTACAAATTCTGTTCTGTATTGGAAAAGGGTAATCCAATTTATGCGAATTTTGCGATAATAACTTAATAACCTGGAAAGTATACTGGAACATTTTCGCAAGTGTTACATATCATGAAAATCTGAAATTATTGTTATTGTTATTACTCCTGAAAGCAAAATGACATATCTACACATTATTACATTTACTTAAATTTAACACTATTATGTCATCTGTACCATCTTCACCATCTGACAACCCTTCCTTGCAGAACCACCCTACACCATCTGACAACTATCTGACAACCATCTAACAAACTTCGGCCATCATACACCATCATACGCCATCTGACAACCACCGGACACGCTTCGACCATCATACACCACCATACACCACCTTCACCACCTTCACCATCAGACATCAGATGCCTGTATTGGACATTACTCTGCGCTTTTGGCAGATTCATTAGTCGACGAGGTGAACCAAGTGCAGTGTACAGCGATAATGGTACAAATTTCACGGCGATTCATTCAGTGCTAAAAGAAGAGTTCGAGAAACTTCGAGCGAAGTCATCGCAGTCGCTTATTAAAGATCGTTTACGAAAGCAGTATATTGAGTGGCATTTTAATCCCCCTGCCGCAAGTCACATGGGTGGCGTTTGGGAAAGACTCATACGTTCTATTCGGCGAATCTTGAAGGCATTATTACACTAGAAGATAGTAAACAATGAAGCTGAGAGGATTCTAAATGATCGTCCACTAACTCGTCAAGAGCTAGAATCACCCTGATGAATTCGAACCTTTGACTCCCAAAAAACTGCTTCTATTACGATCGAATAAACAAACCCCGTTGGGAACCTGGGTGAATCCTTACAAATATAATAAGCGTTGGTCGGAAGCTCAAGAATTGGCAGATATGTTTTGGAAACGATGGATTAAAAAATACTTGCCTTTGCGTCAAGATCGAGCGCAAAAATGGTTGAAAGTGAAAGTGAAACGGAATTTGTAACCTAAAGATTTGGTATTAATATTGGACGAAAAAATTGCACGAGAACAATGGCCCTTAGGAGTAATTGAAGAAGTTTATCCAGATAAGTATGGGAACGGGCCCAAAATGAGAATTAATATTTAAATATATGCATGCACTGAGGGCTCATGTTTTAGCGAGCACATGCATGCGAAGTAATTTTAGTAATTGAGACAAATCGCGAACGCGAAGAGACGTGTTACAGTAAAGAGACGTTATAAGAACACTTATAAGTTAGAGGACATATGTGAATTCCCTCAATGTGAAGTAAGAATTAGTTCTTAATAATAGTAGATGGTTTGTTAATATATTGATAGGTATTAGGTTATTAGTTAAGTTATGTTGTATTTGTTTAGAAAACCAGCGTCGACAAATTTGAATTATAGTCTTGAGGAAATACAGTCAGTCGAGCATATTTTCAGCTGCTCCTGATTTGGTCAAACATTGTACATAAAGTTCTAACTATGTACATAAAAGGTCTAGCAATGTACATACAGGTCCAACAATGTACATAAAGGACAAAATGTATAGTAGAACAATGGTCTAATAATGTACATTAGTGACTCAGTAAATATGTCTGAAAATGTATATAACGGTCTAAGAAGAATATTACTTACTACTTGAAACTTCCATGTATACGCAGTATTGCTATGTGCGGCAAGTTAAGACTGACGAGGACAATCGATATCGCTCCGTGTATGCCTCTAAATTTCTGCACTGCCTTGAAACGTCACAGTAGCCTACCATCCTGATACTGTATAGGATCTCTGAACTTAAAAAATGACAAATAAAAGGTTTTCGTGACCAATTCTTTCTGATAAGGATTAAGACTCCTATTTCTATAGAGGGTTTGCGATATTTCCTTATTAAAACACAATGTGCATCTAAACTGAATGGCTTGGAGTGCTCATACAAATACTAGTCTTAATCATTTCAACGATTTGTGACGAAAATTTGTTCTTTCTACAAATAGAAAAATATCTCAATTAGGAGTTTAAAAGCATAGTCACAACCAGCTATACGTGATAAAAATATTTAATGCCAACCCATATTAAGTTAAATGACCTGTTGTTTTAATTTAGTAACTGGCCGCCTATGCCATAAGTTATAAGCAAAGTCGCCGTTCCATCTGCTGCACTTAAAAAATATTTACATATTCAAAACATTGTATGTTGCTGCGTGCTGACTGCAACTATTAGTAAAATTTCCAATCGATAAATAAGGGATGTAAAATTTCTTATTTGTAAATCTCTTTAGTATTGGGGGGATTGTTCTCTCGCACAATTCAATTGAACCTATTCAATAATAGTATAATATGCAAGTCTAAAGCTACTGATATATAAATTTTGGAAAGACAACATAGTAAGTTATACTGAATACAGAACAAGGAAGACTGTATTGAAAATCTCTCCAGTATTGGAGTATATAGGAGGGTTGACCGCCAAAATTTGTTTTAAAAGTCTTTTTGAACGGGAAGTGGTAGACATTCTTGTCTCCTTTCTCTTATTCTTTAATCTTTATTTTGTTATGAGTGTTATGCATATGCATGCGGCCCTATAGTTCTTGGTTGTGATTCCACAGTCATAGTGCGCTTTATTCGAAACAATTATTTAGACCACTATAGAAGATAAAAGCGAGCGGGAAAAACGTTTAGACGTAATGCAGCTTGAAAGTTCAAATAAAAACTTGCATAAGGACTACTTGCACTAAATATATCCCAAACACAAATAAGCTTGTCTGTCCACTCTACCTCTGAAAGTACCACGCTTGTAAACAAGAATTACGTTTATTCATTAACAAGCAAACACTTGATCTGACACTTAAAGATGAATGATGTATTTATATACATATAATGTATATTACTTAGAGAGCGCGGTCATTAAATAAAGTGTTAAAGTGGGCGGAGGCTATTTTGAAAATTTTAAAGAATTTTTCGTCAGCCTGCACAAGAGCATTTAATTAAAAGGGGCTAGTTTCGCCACTGGTCCTACGCCTCGTCAGTGCGGCTAGTTACGCGATGCATTCGTATTTATATCGCATGAACTTGCTCTCACCAAGGCATGAGGCGCAGCATGACTACGTCAACGCTTCCAGACATGCTCAGAGTCTAACGAGACCAATCGCAAATAGACACACATCAACATCTCCGCAGAGTCCTCGACAACACCGAAGTGAAGGAGCGTAATAGTATAATACTATGATACTATAACATACAGTATGTATAAAAAAAAAGCGCATCCTCGACTAAAATCTAAATTGCTAAACAAATAATAGACGAAAACTTTAAAGTTTACATTCATTTTAAAGCGTAGCCATCCAGCTTTCTAACAGTGGGTTGTTAGTCTTAAATTTAACTCATTGGTTCGCGGGTAATAATACTTTATAACGTTATTGCGATTGGAGATTAAAAATTGAGATGGAATAACAAATCGTTCTCATGAAAATAACTGATTTTTTCATTAAAACAAAAAAATGTTGCATTTTATTAAACGGATTGTAGCAATAAGTATAATTACGGCTTTTCTTCCACTATTTTTAACTCAGTTTGAAACTTCAAATGCGACATAATTTTGGCTTGGACCATCTAAGCTGACTGACATCAACTTGCTATAATTTCTGTTTACATTACGTCGCAATTCGATGACACTCTGGCTCACACACCAGAATGTTTTGACGATTTTTAGCATTCGTTTAGGATTTTCAAACAACCTGGTCTCTTTTAAAATACTTTTAATTTGTTCTTACGTGGTTTTCCAGATGTAGTGACGACAACATTAATGTTTAAAGAAGAAACTTCTAACATTTAAACCGACTAAACAATAACATAGTAAACTTGCATAATTAAACAGGAACTAAAAATGATAGGTTTTACTAAATCTTTTCCTGTGCAATTATTACTAGCATTGGAGACAAGGATAATGGTTTGTTTGAAAGAGAAAAGAACAGGCTTTGAAGTAAGCCTAAAAGCGTTTAACTAGAAATAGTATTTCGAAAGTTAATAA